TCTGTTTTTGAGTTCTTCACTTGAAGGAAGATTTTGCCAACAATCCATCTGTTCTCATCTCTTCAACTCGACCGGTTCAGTTGGTGGCACGCTGCTTTGTGCTGCTTTACTGAATAGTTGTTTTCTCTAGCCTTTTGAGGCCTAAATAAACAGCTTCTGATAGTTCTTCACAATACAACTCCTTTCGGTATGTTCCCTCTGTTCCACCCTTTTAATGATTTTTGCCTAAATTAAGTTGTAAGGGTGAAGATCATATCTTCTTTCTTCTGGAGCAAGATGTGTTTTTGATTCATGACTGGATTACTCATTTAACGGTCTCAATATTTCCTTTCTGAGAATTCCAGGATTTTAGAGGGCATAGACTTTTGACCTCTGAATAACCTGGGTTTGTAAACATCATACTCTTAAACACTAGATTTGGATTTTAAACTTCACATTTATTCCTTCTATCATCAAAAACTGTAGCAGGATTTCTAGCTTTCACTTTAGTATTATTATTTTTTTCCATAGGAAAGAACTTCATAAGCACCTGGAGTTCTGGTTTTATGTAACATAATGGGTTTTACCTCAGGTAATTTCATTTTCAATATTTTATCTTTACATATAAAATATGGTTAATATTAAAGAGAGTAAAACTGTGGTGGTGCCTGGTATGCATAATTTATATCACCTGTTCTTCTGTTTTTTTTTCCACAGTCTATTTTTTACTACAATATTCACTTTCTACCTTCAGGCAGAGGTTAGTATAAATCCAATCTGTAGTTTCTGCCAGGAAAATTAAACATCTTAAAAGGGTCTTAAAGTTCTTTCCATTGATTACTCTCTTTCTGCATTTTTACTATGGCCGAAAGCAAACAAAAAGTTTATTTAAAATTACACCTAACATAGTAAATTCATAAGGAAAGCACAATCTGTAATTTCCTGAATTCTTTTGAAAACAGATAAAATTTGGAGGTATGGAAAGTACTGTTCAGATGAAAGTTAGAAGGTAATACTCAGAACTATCTTGCCTAGTAAGTTCTGAGTATAGAGGAATATTGTGTTTGGGTTGTGTATTTGGTTTTGTTTCTTACTGGTATATCCTCCCATTGCTGGCTCTTCACAAGTTCATAAGAAGGTTCTGTTAAATCAAATTTGGGAACAGGAAAACCAGGAATGGCGTTGTGCAGATGGAATCCAAATGTCACCAACCAGCTATTAACATCTGAAAGAAAATTATACAACAAGAAGAAAAATATTAGATTTGTTCCATATTTTGCAACCGTTACCATTTTCACATGACGTAACTTTTGGCATAGTTGATTTTCTTCTGTACCATCACAGTCATTCAAGAGTCTTCCTTTTGATCTGTATGGCTTTAGGTTTGTGTGACTGCTAGGAGAGCCCGCTGGCAGAGGGAACAAGAGTCTAAGCAAGTCCCACACTACTGAAGAGCTGCACTGCAGCCTTCTGAAAGGCACTGTGGGTCTCAGCTATTTTAGAGGCCTCAGTGGCTTCTAGAACAAATATAGGAGCACAATTAAAATGAGATTTCTTTCTAAGAAAGCCTAATCAAATTCGGATTTCACGATCAGACTGAGACGATCACTCTTTGTCCACACATCATCACCAATACTTTAGAACAAAGTGAACAAGTACTGCAGAGCACATCCTGTCTTTCCTACATTCGTGTAACTGAATGCCTTCAAACTACAGCCGAAATAATACCTGCACACTCCATTACCTTTCATAGGATTTGGCAGATATTTTTTAGTGATTCAAGAGAAAGTTGCCCCTCTTCATGATGAAGCTGGACTGATGAAATTAAAAACTAATAAATATGTATTACAGTGGCGTCCCTAAGTAGACGGATGATACTCTATTAGCATTAAATAGCATTATTTTTGATAAGCAAAGAATGCTAGCTAACTAAAAATTGTTGGGCCAGTAGAAGTACTCTTCCTTACTAATTTCTGTCTTTCTGGGCTACTATTTTTTAGTGATTCAAGAGAAAGTTGCCCCTCTTCATGATGAAGCTGGACTGATGAAATTAAAAACTAATAAATATGTATTACAGTGGCGTCCCTAAGTAGACGGATGATACTCTATTAGCATTAAATAGCATTATTTTTGATAAGCAAAGAATGCTAGCTAACTAAAAATTGTTGGGCCAGTAGAAGTACTCTTCCTTACTAATTTCTGTCTTTCTGGGCTACTTGTCACATACTTAGCAGAAGTTAAGTTAGCTTAGCAAAAGCTGGTAGAGTACTGGTAAGTCCAATAATTTCCATTTAAGAAGACCACAAATATCTGGAAGAAGGAATAGATTTTTCCAAATCTTAAAAGAATAACTTGTCACATACTTAGCAGAAGTTAAGTGAGCTTAGCAGAAGCTGGTAGAGTATGTTTATTAAGTCCAGTAATTTCCATTTAAGAAAACCACAAATATCTGGAAGAAGGAATATATTTTTCCAAATCTTAAAAGAATATAAAGTATTTATTTTAAAATATTTTCTAACCTTTCCAGATAAATGATAAGCCTCATTAAACTCTGGATCTAAAATTGCCCTCCAGTTAAATTAGTCACTGTAGCACTAAGCTTATATATGCAGTCTGGGTCTACATATTCTGTACACCAAAGATGTTGATAGAAAAACTGTATTTTAAGGGCAATTTTTGAACTGACTACCTTGTCTTCACTGTCACCAAGATTCTGATTGCAACTGCATCCCCTATAGCACATGCTGCTAAGAGAGGGCATATTCAAGGATCTGCTGTCAACCTTACTTTCAGGAAGCCTGTTAGCAACCCTGTGAAAGGTGCTGTGTGCTAAATGCAAGTGCAAATTCACTTGGTTCCCAATATGCTTCTCTGAGGGACAGTCTCACAACTCATTTCTAAGTGGAGCTCAGCCCCTCCTGTAGTCTGGCACTGTCTATGTAAAATAGTTCAGATTATTTGCACCTATTCAGTTGTGGGAATTCAAGTTTATTCAGCCATGCATTTTTCAGGAACATCTGCGGATGTGCAGTCATTTTTTTTTTTAAATTTATATAATTGTATTACGCTAATCAATGTATATTACTCAATCTAAATCAACAAAAGCATATGGGTTTCCTAATAATAACTCAGTTGTATACAAAGTGGCATCTTGGCCGCATTCTATTGCCAAAAGAAGTTCTTAGTCATTTTCCTACATTCTGTTCCCCATTCCCTGCTCCTAGCTTTGTACTCATCTCTCTGTCAGCCAGTTTATTGTAGCAGCCTTGCAGGAACTTACTTGGCAAATATCAACCAACTTCTAGTGGCTACCTATGTCAATGTCTAAAGCTACATGCAATTTTGATATACCTTTTATTATCAAGATCTCCCATTCATTATTTTACCATTTCTGATCAGCGCGTTCACCCTGGTTAATCTCACTGGAAGGTGTCTAATGCTTCCTCATAAGGAATTTTCCCAAATATGACACATTAAGATAACTCTCCAAAACTGTGAATTCCAATCTAAATTGGAAATCTGTAGTTTCCTTTCCAGCATCCTCAGATTAACTCCCGCCCAGATCAATTTTGTTGATCTGCTCCAAAATGCCAAGTTATTTCCTGAAGAATTATCTTCCCCGAGAGTTTCTCTTCTAACCTTCCCCAGACAGTATCCTTAGCCCACATGATCAGATTCCAGATTTTGAGATGACAAAAAGACAGATTTATGAGCAAGTGGGAGGCAGTCTGGCAAGTTAAGTAGAGTTCCTTTACCTGTGATATAATCCTTCACATCATGTATCTTACTGGCTGGGTTGTTGTTTCTAAACATGTACAAATTAAAAGGAGCCGGATCTTTCCCAATTCTTTTCCAGATCTCGATATCAGGTGTTGTCCATCGGCCTGCCATTATGTCATAGTCTCTTTCTCCAAAGTGGACTAGCTTGGTCAGGGGGTCATACAAGCCTCCATGGAAGCCTATGACCAGCTGAAAGTCAAGGTTAGAGTCAAAGTAGATCTCTCCGTAAGCAGTGTATTGAATTTGCTTAAGCATGAGACCATTGCTACTAAAAACAGCCAGTGGTGTCCCTGTATTGTCTGAGGCAATGTAAAACTCATCGCCACTGCTAATTTCCATGGCAAAAAGATGCCCTTGCAGGTCGTAGTAGAGGGATGTGATTTCGGAACTTGAGTGGTTGTATACGTGAGTTATCCTGGTTGGATAAGTAAGGTCTGCATAAAAGAACTGGAGATGCTGTCCAAGGCTAGTTTTAGTGGAAACTCGCCGCCCGAGTCCATCGTAACGGTAAATGACTGTCCACCCGCTGCCTTTGCTATACACTCTGGTAAGGAGGCCCTTGGAGCTGTATTCAAAGATCTCAGTACCCCTCTGACGCAGGAATCCATCTTCATCTAATCGATACTGAACATCACCCAGTCGAGTTATTCTGTCTCTCAGGTCGTAGCGAAGCGGCGTCAAGCGGGCACTGTTACTGGGGTTAAGTAAATGGAGGTTGCCATTCAGGTCATAGTTGTATCGCCACATTATTTTTTCATTTAGATAGACTGTCTGGAGCTGACCATCTACATCGTATTCATAAGCGTATTTTGTGGTGTTGGCAAACGGCCCAATCTTAATTTCTCTTTTTGTCACTCGTCCCATGTTATCATACTGAATTGTAATCCAATACATTAATGACCTAAATATTTCATACTGAATTTCCTTGATGCGGCCATGTGCATCAAAGTGTTTTGTGTAAGTCATTACGGCCGTAGAAATGATCTGGTTAATATCATAATAGATGACTCCGAATTTTCCAAACTGTTCCACTTTCCCAGAGATATCATCGAACTGGTACAGGTCGATGGGCAAGGGGGTTTCATTGATGACGCCCTGCATGCTAGTCACTCGGAAGCTATTGTCGTAGCTGTAGTCGAAGCGGGCATTGACCATCCCGTCCTCACTGAAGCGGAATATCTGCCTGTCGATCAGTGGGCCGATCTGCCTGTATCTAATGGTGCAGATAAAACCATCACTTTGGAGGTTGACTGTTTTCAGGACGCCTGCTGTCTCATCGTAAGTAAAGCTAACTCTTGTGCTGTCGTACAGAATCTCTGAGAGCTTGGTCTGCCGCCTGTACTTGAATAACACTCTTCGGCTCGTCCCCAGGAAGGCGGTTTGAAGGAGCTGCCCTTCTTCATTGTAGTCCATTATAACTGAGGCATTACTTTCAGGGGGGTTGTAGATGTTCCGGTAGTAGCCAATGGAGCGGATGGTCTGCATGGTGTGACGAGCCACGCTAGGCATGGTGACAGCCGAGAGCCGATCCAGCAGATCGTATTCAAAGATGTACTGCCGTTGGCTATGAAGCAGGAGAACCATCGACTGAAAATTAAGAACAGGATTTACCATGTGACAAATGGTGGAGTGTCACCCCCACCCCCGGCACGCACGCATATTCTGACACTATTTCTTGACAAAAATGTGACATTCCCACTTGAGAAAATTATCTCCTCTTTAATTGAGTTATCCTTGACCTTGCATGTTGTTAACATCTCCCTGCCTAATTTACTTGGATGCTTAATTGTAAGGGGTTCTGTAATTAGTGGTTCCACATTCATAATTTGCTACTTGTTATGACTGTATCACTCTTTTATCAAGCACTCGCAGCTAAACAGCAGATTGTCAATGGATTCAGATAAGTCATGTTTAATGTGGGAAGAAGCAAAACTGTCTTAGAGCCATTAACTCACAAGGAGAACAACATATGGGAGAAACAATTTCTCCCCTACAATTAGAGATAATTTTGAACAATTTGAATAGCCTGAGATCCCCGAATACTGCATTCTTGTTCGGTAAGTGCTTAAGACAAGGGCAAAACAATTGTTTGATTATTTACATCAAAAGGAGCTACTCAGAATCATTCTGGGATTTTTTTCTGATGTGTGGCTACTATGAATCATAGCTCTTGATTAAATTATGTCAGCAATGACTAGGAAGTAATACTTGCTGAACAACAAATTCAATAGAAATATATTTAAACCCCAGAAAGAAATGGATTTTGTTTTGCCATAGTAGGCATGAGATCTCACAAGGGAGATTTTCACAGATATTTCAGAAGGACAGCTATAATTCTGCAGTCATTATACATAAAATTTTCAGATCTTTTCCCTACCATTTAATTGTAAGCTGCAACATATAGCAAGTATAAATTGACAGCTGTAAGTATTTAGAAACAAGAACTTTTCTTTGTAGCCAAAAAAGAGAAAAAAAAAGTAGCAAAGTACAAAATCATGTCTACAAACATGTTATTTTCAACTGAATTGCATTTCAGAGATCTAACTCCTGTACCTTGTTTTAAGGGTTAAGATGAAAGATAAAAAAGGATGCTTCTAGCTTGTGGCCTAAATAATTTAGAAAGACATCAATGCCTAGAAATTAGCTAAAGCTTGGTTATATACCTTTTGTATAACACATTCTCACATGAATCATATTGTTACTTAAGATGAATGGAAGGTGCTTGTACTGTCTCTCGTGTACTCAGCAGTCAGATGCCACATAGTGTTATCACAGCCTGAGTATTTTAAAAAATCGGAGTGCTCTTTACCTTTTCCAGATACGTGTAGCTCCACGTTTTCCCGTCGGCAAACACTCGGGACACTATCCTGCCCTGCCCGTCGTACTCTATTTTCTCGCTCGTGGTCCCTCGCTGGATGCTGCCGATGTGCCCGCTGGACGAGTAGGTGACGTTGACAGACATCAGCTTGCTGCTGGGCCGCCACAGC